ATAATGGTTGACTGACTTGTTTGGTTGACCTGACATATCGACACTTTGCAAACCTCGACTTGATTCATCAACTTGTATATTCATATAATATTGGGTTTGTATCATCACGTTGGACTCGTTATCAAACACCTTGATGTGTCCATGCAACACAAACTCGATATACACACATTAGTTACTGTTTGACATGAATGGGTCGATCATCAATACCAGACAATGCAACTGTATTAGTTGTATGATACAATCAATCATGGTTGACTCATCACCATCAAATATCAAATGTTGATCACGTATACATTGATTTGTAATTGCATGGTCTGTTGGCAATACACACTATGATATGATTGACAAGTTGTTGATTTGCAGTAATCAGATGTGCATCACCTGTAACATTGGATGCAATTGACGAGTTGTAACCGCCAGTCAACAATCATCGATATGTTGGTGATTGTATTGACTACATGATTGGTATTGATTAGCTGTCATGATCGATTGGTGGACAATACAATCCACATTGATTATGACGTGTTGCAACTAGTTGATATATGCAGACTCGACTGATGATCGAGTATATGTTGATGTGTAACTCTGTCACTGTTTGTCTTGATTGGTTATTGCTACTGCTTGTATATGCAGTGTATTCATGTGTGATGTATTGGATATCGGTGTTGTGTATGTTGAACCTGTTGGATAATATATTGTCATGTCGCATCAAATCGCACCACATTTAGACTGCAATCATTGATTCGTTGGTTTAATGATCGACTCGACTCACATTCGACTGTAATGGCCACAAATATGCATTGCTGATTGACACGCATATATCGACATGTATCAGACTTGAACATGGTGTATATCTGTCGATTATACCAATCACTGATGCAATTGATGATGATCGATTAGTCAATCAATTCAATATCAACACCAATGTCAGTCCATTACCACATGGATACTCGCAGTTGTGACCTGTATTCAGTCAGTAATATTGGTTCATGTAGTGTATTGTATAGTCAACCATGCACATACACATGCATGTCATTGTCAATTGATGGTCGTTTGTAAACAACTTGTGGACAACTTGCAAATATTACAATCATGGTGATTGCTTGAATGTCGATACCAAGCCATGCGTTTGATGGTCATTTACTGTTCAGTTTACTGTTCAACAATGCAAATGGTCGTTGTCTACCAATCAGTCGAGTCGTAGACATGAACTGCACATTGTGCGTATCGCTTTGTTCATGACCAAACTGTAACAATGTGCACTTTGCATTGAGTTTGAACTGCAGTCTGCGACTTGTACGCATTATGATGCATTGTTTCAATATTCATGTTGCATTCATCAACATCAACGTGCAGTGTCGATCTGATGTTTGGTGTTGATGTTGTGTTGATATTCCAACAACACTGAATATCGCAAATCAGGTCAGCATTAACCCATGTGATAATAATCCACAGACAGTCAGTTGTACCAAACTGTTGTACAAGCATATTGACATTTGATCGATTGAAAGTAGTATAGATAGAACACCCGATGATACCAGTTTTTTAACCGACACTTACTGCTAAATCATGTACAAAGTTGTCAAAACATAAATTATTCGCAGAAAGGAATTCAAGTCAAAAGTATTAGGGTAGAATAGTCAATAACTTTGCTTGTAATTCATAATAAATACGAGCTATTTGTGCCAGACTCATACTTGATGCCTCAAATTGGATACAATGGGTAGTTTTTTAACCAGTACTAAGCGTTAATGTACACAGACTGGGTTTAGCTGGGTCTTGTTGTAAGAATGATAGAGTATAAAATCAAACCACTGACAAGTCCGTGTTTATCGAGTACGAGTCTTTATATTTCCAATCAACTCTTCCAAATGTGATATTTGTGTCTTGCAATGCCAAAATGGATTCAAATCTGCTTGATTACACTATGCATTTGGACATCATTGCTGATCTGTTGAATTTCACGCTTTCTTTGATCATCTTTTTGATACTCTAGCATATTCTATTCATAATTGTGTCTAGCCTCCAACTCTTGATCCTGGCTCATCCCTGGTTGTTTTTGTCAATACCATTGATTGGGAATAAAACCAGAATCAACCCGCTGTTTATCACGTATGGCTATTTGATTCAATCCAGTTGCAAACAATTCTTTGTAAAAGTATACTTTCTGGTACTCCTTGTATAATACCAGCATCTCTTGAAACAGCTGCTTTTGTGCTTGTAACAATCCCTGCAGTATTTCGTCAGCTGGGAGTTTGATTCAAGTTTGAAAACCAAGACTATCGATCGGGCAAATCCAATGTCAGCAAAACTGTTGTACAGTTTGGCAGTCAATTGATTGACCATAATTGTAAGCAACAAAACAACTTTTATTTGCAAAAGAAAAAGGAAAACGCAGTTTGTTCTTGAATCAAAATATTAGTTTCAAAACTGTATGGTGAAAAACAGTCTTGGGATATGCAATTATTTACAAGAAACTATAGATTTTAAAACCAAAGCGATTAAATTACACGATTGGGGAGTTCCTGATAATGAAAGTGGTCATTTCCACAAAGTGAGGTTTGTTGTCCAATGGAACCCATACGATATTATTCACCTTTAAGAAATCAAACGCCGTGTATTGTGTAGAACGAGGTCAAGAAACAGAGTTAGGATTAGCGTTATGCAGCCAATAAAAATCATTAATTATAGTCTACATACCTTATTGATGAGATGGTTCAAACGTCAAAACAAATCGAGTCAACTTCTTAACACTCGCAATAGTATCGTTTTGTGACAACACTCGACCATCTGTTCCGTGGTAGCTTTGGCGTGTAAAACAGGCAAAACGATCAGGAGGTACAACAAAATACAGTTCTGGTTTTGACGGATTACCAAGTATTTCCAAAACATCACAAAGTTCAGTTTGTTTGCAAGGATGATCTTTGGCACCGGTCATTTGGAAAAGTAGATTTGGCTTGATGAACGAATCAACAGATTCAAAAATATTGCTAATGGGACGGAAATAGCAATTCGTTGCGTCTTGAACTTGAGAATTGTTGGACAATAACAAAGTACTAAGATCCATCGGCAGTTGAAGTGTAGACTCCAGCTTGGTACGTAAATCACGAATCTTGAATGAACCACCTTTAGCAATAACTGTATGAGCGTGCTTTTCAAATAATGCCCTATTAAATTGACCAGTTTCACCAATTTCTCGAGTGACAGAAACGAATCTGATAAGATGATCTCGGTCTCTGGCATAGACACGGTTGTAAATTTCATCAACCACATAGTCAGAAGCAAACTGATAAGGACCACTGTGGAAGCCATCCTTGACTGATCTATGAATCAAACAACTTGAAGCGTCTAGGTTTTCACCATATTTACCAAAAGACTTGACAACTGAATCGATATTGGAAATATTTAAAGCTTTGTCGAGAAAATCCTGTTGTTCTTTTACCAATGCATATTTAAGAACATAACGAGCAATTCCTCCCCACTTCAAATACAGACTTTCAACCAATTCTTGTGGGACTGTAGGAAAAAGCATTGAGCGACAAGAATGCAATTCTTCTTTTGACCACACTGGCATATACCGAATGTCGCAGGACCCCTTGGAAAACCGATGCCAAATTTCCCAGCGAGGTAAAGTAACAAGAATGGTCTTGGCATCAACATCAACAGGTGCCGAGCCATCAACAATGTAGAATGTTGACGAGGAATCCAAGATTTGCCAAAAAGCATGCTTTCCTCCTTCGAGTACACCATTGGGAGTAAGCAGATATCTTTTTTGATCGGCTCCACTCTCATACACGACTGTAGCACCAGAGCGAGCAAGATGCAACAGCAAAAAGTAACCAAAATATGTCTTGCCAATTCCAAGATTTCCAAGGATGATCAAATGACGTATATCAGCAGATTGCACAATAGATATGATTTTTCAAGAAGTTTAGGATAACAAGGACGGATGTAAATGGATGATCCAATTGAATGGTTTCCAAGGATGAATACGTCTGCTGGAAGTTGGACAACAGTGTTTCCTTCAAGAGGGTTAGGGTAGTTTGTGAAAGCAGTCCAAAAATCCAGTAGTGCGGGTGAGGCTGCTGCAGATGTTGGACCTAGGTAAGTTCGGGTAGGCTGTCTTGAAGGTAGAGGTAAACAACCAATAACAACACAAAAACCATCTTGAGTAAAGTATTATTGAGGAAGGGAGTCGAGTAAAGCCCAGGTGTTGATTAGTTGGTCCTTGTTACTGTTGGTGTAGAGTTGGATGAAAGCAGCATCAATGTCAGCCATAGCAGGACCATACTCAGACTTGATAGCATCCTGAACTCCACTCAGGTCTTCAAAGTCAGTCACATCGATTTCAGTAGAAATAGTGCCATATTCAACATTGAGGTATCGTTTTGGCATTTTATGAAAAGAAAAAAGAGTAAAAAAGCAATTTATTTGTCAAATTGTAAAACAAAAATCGACTTTTTAATCGAGTCAAAATAACAAAATTTTGGGATATTTCAAGACAATTCACACGATTTAAATATTTGGAAATTAGTCAAATTCACACCAGAATTAATGTCTCATTAATGTGAGACATTACTAGTGTGAGAGTGTTGACTTGCATTGTGTGAGACATTAGTAGTGTGTGAATGTGAGACATTTCTGAATAGTTTAACAATCAAAAACCATCAACAATGACGTTTGAACTGGAATTCACATGACTTTCTTGGTTTCTTCCATTTTATAAACACACTCACTCACTTGTTAATAAACAACACAATCGAATATTGATTCATTCCATCACATCTTCAATCAACTGCAACACACTTGACAATAATGACAACCATCAATATGACATCATATGTTCACGATCTACAATTGATATAATACCCAACACAGTACACACAAACATGCAGTATGTAATCAATGATATGGTTGTTGATCCATTCACAATGTTCAGCAAACATCAACACATATCAGAAAGTTTAAATTTATTCAAAATCAAATTCATTGGCAAGTCATCAATCTGAATCTGCTTTTGGTTCTTCAAATTTCAAACCATGCCTTTCCATAAACTTTTTCAATTTATATCTGACACTATATACTCTTTTCCTTGCCGCTACATACTCTTGTTCCAATTTCTTTTCAGTGTCTGGATCGTACGTTGAATCAGATATTTCTTTGCCCATTGCTAACGCTAACTGCTGACTGAATTTGAGGTCTGCATGTTTACAATATTTTTCGCGTTTTTCTTTTGCAATCTTTTTAGACGCTACAAGCCTTTTCTTTATACGATTAAAGCTTCTCTGATATCTTGGGCCTAATACAGTCACTTGATTTGTAACAGTATTAGCAGACTCGCCTTCGTTTATTGGTTGTTGCTGGTCTTGGCTGGAAGTACTTGGAATGGGTTGATCAATCGGTTGTTTTCGACTTTGTTTTGGAGCACTTGGACTGGGTTCATTAGTTGAGCCAGACGCTTGGCTAAAAATGCTTGGCCTGATTTCATTGATTGGCCGTTTCCGACTTCGTTTGGAAGTACTTGGACTAGGCTGACTCATTGGCTGTTGCTGACTTTGTTTGGAAGCGTTTGGATCAACTTCATCAATTGGTCGTTGCTTGTTTTGTCTGGAAATCAGTAAATCAATCACATCCATTATGCGCTTTCGGCCTTGTTTGAAAGTACTTGGACCAGCTACAATCACAGTTAGTCGTTGACCTTGATTAGGAGTATTTGGATCGGGTTGATCCATTGGTTGTTGCCGGATCCGGTCGGAAAGGCTTAAATCCACTGGTTCTTGCTGGTATTCATCTGAAGTGCCTGGATTAGGTTCATTAGTTGAAACGGACACTTGACTGGAAGTGACTGATGCTTGGAGTGAACCATCATTATCAGTCGGTATCAGTATTGCATTAGCGGTTGCTGCTGCAGTCAATACGAATAGAATATCAACCAATTTCATCAGAACGATCAATGGGTTTAAACAATTAATACAAAAGTAGAGTGTCGAGATTGGTGTCGATTATAAAACTGAACATACTCGATTGTATTTATATGTTTTGTATAGCAAACCAACCCTAACCCTTATAGGTTAACCAATATACAGGGATATTTGATTGCTTGTAGTGAGAAACCATCAAACTAGACAGTATGCTGCTCCCTATTCACAATATCATATTGATCAATTTGATGATCGTGTCGATTAAATTATGCTTTTACGACCCTTTTATCAGGTATTTTGAAAATCACCCTTCAAAAGTGTTGTGTAACCGCAAACGCTTTGATTTACAATCGTATTCATGTCAAATGGATCACTTTAGTATTCATCATGCAATGACTGTATTCTGAATTGCAACATACAATGACTACTACACATTGACTAAACTGTGTGTTTGATATACAACAACCATCATATGACACACAATCAGACTATAATGTTGAATTTACACTTTGTGCACTCTTAGTAATCATACATTGCACGATCACCAAGTTTGAACCCATATTCATGTATTGTGTTTGACTGTCAATGTTGTCAATACAACTCTGTAAACACATTTGTTGTATTCTGAATCACAGATACGATCGCAATCTAATTCAACAACAATCATGACACATGTCAGTAATGCAACTGTTTATTACACACCAACACTGTTATTTAGTGGTCCATTTACATCAATATGGCTGCAAGTTGTCGTTACATCACGTATTCTGGACATGGTTTTGATATTACGCATCCAGTTCCATCACATTGTTGTTGACCCATCATTGTAACGATGTATGTCCCCATAATCATAGACATGAGCATGTGGTTTCACGTATAATATTACAACCACGCATGTCGTTGGTTGCATCATCACTACTAGTGTATACTACACTACACTACATGTATGTTGACATGTGTTGTACCAATTTGATTTCATTGCTACGTGGCATGCTCCAACCTGTTTGAATGACTGTTGTGCAACGTATTGGTATTGACCACATGTGATACTGGTCACCAACAAAGTGATCAGCGGTATTCGATCGTATCATTCAATCACTGACTGCCAATACTTCAATTATGAATATTATCCACCATTTCATGACACCATCTGATACATTCAGTGCACAGTAGCTGATTGGTGCAATATGATCAATTCAAGCATACTATTACACTGAAATGGTGGTGACAATGCAAGGTGTTTATTGGACAAACAAGACTGAATGCTTACATGACAAATGCAAATTGATAGTATAAATCATATAATACACACTGCAGTACAACATATTCTAAACGAGGTTGTTGATAGCGTGATTCCAGTTTTACAATGAAATTGAATTACCAAACAGTCGAGTGTCCAAACATTGATTTACTATACACTTTTAGTTATGGTGGTTTGCGTAGAAATGTTCAAGTATGCCTTCTATATCCAATGAACCTCAGCATTTGTCGTTTGAATCTATTAAACTTTGAACGTAATGAAGGAAGTTGAATATCATATTCTTGCAGTACACTAGATTCACTTAGATATCTAGCAATTCTAGTCGTTGGTACAAAGTGTACTTTAGCTTCCCTTGAACCAGCATCATGACTTGACTTTTGCTGATGTTTTTTAGAATGATCGTGTTTTGAGCCGTGGGGTTTAAAAGTGGATTCGGGTTTCAAGATGGATTTTAATTCTGGAGTAGGTTCAGATACAACGCTTATCGATTCTTCTTCAGGAGGTTCAAGAGCCAACTTGCGACACACCCATAATCTTCCTAGTCTCAGTTTCCTGAATTTCTTTTTATCAGATGAGCTCATTCTACGCCCATACCCTCTTCGTTTAGTTTCTAGTATTCTTTCCTTTGCCTTGGTGCTCATCTTGTGCGGATATCCGTCTCCAACATCAGTTGGAATTTCCATACCCATATTCTTCATTATTTTTTCGACTCTATCCAGCCTTTGCTGATGTGTGAGAATGGGCCGTTTGTTCTCTGGAATATAGTTTTTAGGGAGATGGCAGACGTCGTCATATAGTGTGTTGTCAAATATATCATCGTCTGACTGTTTGGACTAAGAGTATGACAGTGATTCATCGGACTGTTCAACAGAACTGTCTGAATCATCGGGATCTATAGTCGACTGAGCTACATCATGATTGGCTTCAGTTGATTGTTGCTCTGTTCCAGTTGAAGCGCAAATACCAGTGTGTTGCTGCATGTGTGTTGAACATTCTTTTACAGGTTCTGATTCGCTGGAATACGGACGATCAATGACTACCGCACTGACTGTTATCGACAACAGTGACAACACAATAGTCGATATGAATTTCATCCTGTCGACCAAAATGAATGTGATAAAGCTTGTTGATTAGTAGGACAATTCTTGGTAATAAATGAGCCAGTTGTGGATATGAACCATACTTTTATAGCGATTAAATATATAATCAAGACATACGGGTTATACAAGCTTATGCAGCAACAACTCGACCGCCATTTAGGTATATGTAGCACAGATACTCATGTGTAGGCTGTTTTATGCACAACTCTTCAACCATTGAATGAAACATGACTCATAGTCGAGGACTGGTGACCCTGACCCATATACTAAAGAATATGTCAAGATCGATTGACATAGTCAGTCAGTTTCAAGTTACAGTCAGTATAGGGTAACGGTTTATCCACACAACAGCTGGCCAAATATTAATGGTAAAATCCTTCAAACGGCTCTGCCTCAACACTTGATCTAGTGATATGATACTGTGCTGCAGTCCTGTTCAATGCAGTATGGATTGATGGTCATATCAGCAGTATCAATACTTTATGCCAACTGTAATACTTTCAATATGCAAACTCAAAGTATTGCAAATGATTAGAAAAGCTTCAACAGAACTCTTGAACTGTCAATTGTCATGCTATCAATAGTATGAACATCCGACTCAATACTGTACATGACTGGTTGTCAAGAGTCTTGCAGCATTTACTTGGCAAACTGGATTCCTGTTTCGATTATACAAACATGGCATCAAACACATGTCTACTTTGGAACAAGACCTTGAGTTGAATGTCCAGCAATATACAAAAATATACAAAAACAGCACGAATTGAATGTCAAAACTCGATTACTAACAATTTCAAATCTACAGAAACGAATACGACAACTTGCAGTCTAGTCATGTAAACGGAACACTAACAGTGTCAGTGTGTAATAAACAGTCAGTGTCATGGACTGGTTGACAATACAGTGGTGTTGTTGGTGGTGATCGACATGCATGGTTGCATTACTGACATGTGTTATGTGCCATGATTGTTGTTGAACTAGATTGCGATCGTATCCGTGATTCAGAACACAACAAATGTGTGTACAGAGTTGTATTGACAATATTGACAATTAAACACAATACATGAATGTGGGTTCAAACTTGGTGATCGAACAATGTATGATTACCAAATGTGTCGAGTATCCATGCAGAATACTAAATGGTAATATGTGATGATCCAAGGGACTCGTATCACCAATGTTTGTGTGCCATAATTCCACTATTTGACTTGGTAAACAATAGGAATTACACCTATTGATCAATTTACTTTTCTGATTGCTCATCATACATTCTACTTGTTCGTGTCACCAAGATACAATCAATCAATTACTACAAGACTGACTATAACTCATATTTATTAATAAATGACTGTTCCAACCATTTCAACATATTATTGTTTTATTACATCTTTTCATTATCATTGAAAAAACCAAATCTGCTGATCCTGAATTATTGTGCAACACCCATTACACTTTTGGTTTGTTCTCTTTTGTCAACTACTAACAGTTACAGATCATACACACTTCTCCATTTAAATTAATATAAATCAGATTACACAAAACTCCAACAGAGTTGTTGGTTGTTGATGGGCAAGTTGGATATAAAGTTGTTTTCAATCAATCCGTTGGCAATCATGATAGCATACTTTGATTTGTATGTACGCAATACTGCTGTCATCTTGTGTATGGTGTTTCGTATTCCTACAAACGCAATCTATTTTCAGCTGTTTTTTGCAGACATTTGATGTTGTGTAACAATGAGGGTGTAAAATGTAGTACAGAAATAGACGACTAAATTATATTTATTTCAACGGATTTAGCACTCTTGTTCAAGTAAAACGGTATCATCTGATGCTCATTATACACTACTTGTACGTTGAATCATGCCAATCACTTGCTACTTTAACAAGCATGAAATATCACGGCACATATTGATGACCATTTAATAACCGAGTGTCAACTTATTCCAGTTTTGGTTTATACTCATTTCTCAACCCTAACCCTTGACCATAACCCTTTTTAGGGTGGGACTGCATAATCAACCATATGATATTCGAATGTATGGTCAGATATCGGCTCAGCCAAGGTTACAGGTCAACATATAAAGGGAGACTCTTCAAAGTTTGGCATTGACAACAAATCAATATCAACCCTGACAGTAATACTAGTCCTTGAAACGACCATTCAAGGAATATGCTTTTAATATCATTTATTCAATAATGGATATAAATACAGTTCAAAAACCGACCTGTTGAATGACATTAAAACTTGCTCAACCAAACCAATACAATGAAACTCGCAGTTGCTGTATTGTCATCGATCCTGTTTGCCTGCTCGATTACTACAGCCAATCCAGTTGATCCCAATGAAAGTACAGATGCTGAACATAGGATTTTTACCGGCACTCCCACTGTACTTAAAGGTGTCGAATATAATTTTTGGATAGATGCTAATCCAGACGGTATAGGCTTGGGTGCTCTTGATGATGCACTTTCAGATAACGTCAAGCATTTACTCGATAAATACGTAGAGTTACAGGATGGTCGTAATCAGCAAAGAAAAATATATTGGCCGTTAAAATCTCGATATGACAGTCAATATGACGTGGTAGTGGGCGTGAAAAAAGATCTTAAAGTTCTGGAATATCTATCTCAAGACGATGACAGCCTAAAATATTATATTGAAATTCGGAAGACTAAGCTTGATCATGAAAAACAACTATCCAAACTTGACAAAATTCGAAAAAGTTTTTATGAGTGCCAGTTCAAGATTGGTCTTCTTGTAGAAAAAAAGTCGGAAACCGATGAACGGATTGTGAGTCTCATTTTAGGAACCCCTCTGGATGTTGTAACAGTTATTTACAAATCTTCGCTTATCAGAGGAACGCCTTCCGTTAAAGATTACCTTGAACAACAATCATCAAAATACGAGAGTCTTGGCCAAAACCCTATTGATCAAGAATATCAGAATCCTAGTGACCAACAACGTCAAGATTTGCAATCGTCATTGGATACACTATCTGGATCTGGATCCTTTGAACAGAAAGTGCCCTCCAATAAACGTCAAGGTTTTTCCAAGTTTATGAGTAGATTGGGATCATTCTTTGGACGACCCAAACGTGAGGATCGCGAACCATTGATTTGAATGTCAATCTGGACTCGTTTCAACTGATTCAATTGTCATTATGGTTTAATTTACAATAAATTTGTATGTGCATGCATTGTATCTGATTATTGTACACGGTCTTGGTTGACATGGTATCATAGTGTACATTGACACTTGTATTTCCAATACAATACAATACAGTTGATTGTATATTGCATATTTGTACACATTGATGATGCTGAAATGCATGTGTGTATTGTGTCGATATGACATTGCTTGTCATGTCGTATTGACACATGCAACACCAATACCAACAATAGTCATGTGTGTTGATATCAGATCTAACCAATTTGACTGGTTTGACTCGTTGATTGTGGTGTCAAAATGGTTGTATCAATAGCCTGACTGATCACACACATCAGTCGCAGTGTCAACTGTGTTGTGTATCAAATATCGCATGTTGATGTATCCAGTAATCGTATACTGGTCGATTGGTGCAATATGATCACACATACTAATGGAGTGTGATAATCATGGTATTTGCAGCAGTATACCATATTCCAACTGTTGATATCGCGCATCCAGTATCGACATGATCATCCAGATATACAGTGATGGATTCAAGCAATGCATACCATGATTGATACACTTGGATCATGTATATTCAATCAATACCATGTATTACCAATGCAATAGTATGTGTGATCATCGTGTATTAAACAACTACGATACACACTGGACTAATCCAATACATGCATGGCTTGAACATATCACACAATCAAACATGAATACACCACATTAAAAATACATATAGTAGCAGTTTGTCTATAATGAATTGTATTCAGTCGAGTTTATTGAGAGTCTGTTTGTGACTCTTGGCAGTGTGGTGGGTGTTTTCAGGTACAGCTATTTGATCAGTTGTAGTTGTTGGTCTCCTTTTGCGAATAAATGTGCCATCTGAACCTGAAGTACTTGGTTGTTCAGGCAATCTAACACTATGCACCAAATTCATGATCAATATCAATTAACACATACACACATCAATATCAAACAACTTACTGTGTTAATGGCCATAGTACTTGATAACCGTTCGAAATAGTAGGATATCCATCAGCCATGACTTCACATCCACATCCAGGACCAAACCCAATGCGTTTATGTGCTCGATCAAATGTCAATCCAAGTCGAGTCATAAATGGTATACCAAGAGCTGCATAATCATTTGAACCAGCTGCTACAATAAACAAAACTATAATTCGATATTTATATTAGTCAGGTTAATCAAACAATACATATTGCATACAATTGTCAATTATTTACATCTTTCAGAATCATATCTCTGTATATAGTCTTTGGGACCCAATTTGATTGTTACAACGGAGTTGCGATTGGAATCAGTTACTGGGTTTTGAGCAAACATTGTAATTGAAAGCGTTGGCAGCTTGCCCCAATCAATATTAAGTTTGGATTCAAGCATTGCGTAGTGTTCCCAAAATATTCTTTTGATTTCTTCCGAGTTGAGTTTGTTACTATACATAGCTTTTTTGACAGTAATCGCACCACTATCAAGAATAGCATCAATCAACGCTTTCACGACTACTTCAGGAAAACGTATATATCTAAAACATGTTTGTATAACCGAATACAAAGTACGTCCATCTTTTACCCTTTTTTGGAATTCCTCGGGTAGATTCACTGGTTTGTCATTGATTAGTATACTCTTGATGTTGACAGTATGGCGACCGTCTGGTGGTGAGTCTACCCATGCAACACTCCTTCCATTCGTTCCGCATTTTGCAGCTATTTCCGTGTTTCCTATATTGATGAAGCTATTTGAAGTCATTTCATACGGACATAGTTGAAGACTAACCTCGTTATTGGGAATGACACCATCATTGTACAAAACATCCATCGCAGTGATTCGTGAGTGATGATTTGACAACAAGGAATTGCCGAACCCAAATATTCCATCAAACTCTGGATCGATACCAACTAGATCTGGCGATTGTTTTCTAACTGCTAGTACTGGTAATTTGATGTCAGTTATCCTAGTACCCGGAATCGTCACAACGGTGTCGGATGTAACTCCTTTATACTGTTTGCCTCTGTAATCTATAGTAACGGGTTCCCCATTTGGAGTGTGTTGCGGAGCCAAACTCACATCGCTGCTTGAACTAGGAAGTGGTACAATTATACTGGAAATCGCTGAATCGACTTGTAAATTCAACTATTTTAAACAAGTGTGAGATTGATTCAACGTGGTGCAAGTTGATATCAAACTACAATGCATGACATGATACATACATTGACTTTCATTGTGAAACATTTTGTGATATCACCACCCAATTCAACGGGTGATCGTTTTGATAGCCTATTGTTTGATTGACTGGCAATCCCAATTGGTGATTCTAATGCAAGTCGAACTGCAGCAACCGCTTGTAACGCAAGTATAACGCATTCTAGAGTAATCAACATTGTATCGAGTAGTGTAATGAAAATGTGTTGAATCCGGTACATGACTGCTGTTTTATAACAACGGTAACTTCAAGGGTGACAATCGGCAGTTCCCAAATGGGTATTTATAAAACACAAATGCACCATGTAGGGTGGGCAAAGCCAAAAACACCCTGTATGGTAGATCAATATACAAGCATCGTTGTTGGTGTATAATCAACCTCGGTAGTATGCTGTGTTGATCTCTTCGATTGCGGTCATGTATCCAGTGATCAGGTAGTGTCAGATCATTACCCTGATTATGGATAGTTACCATCACATACATTCCATCACTACAGCATATACTGTCATTGTATACCAAATATTTGACTGATTGTTCAATTGGTCATGTATTTGATTTGTCCGAGTGATTCAAACCATGTCAAAATGGTTGTTGAAATATAAATATATATCATCCAAAGTTGATTCAGATTGTCGCTAGCTGTAATCTGTTGATCTGTCAATGTGTGGCCATGTGTCAATGCACACAGTAAACTTGAAACCAACTTGCATAGTTGTCAATGTTCAAATCAAAACCGCAAAGTTTCATTCTATTTATCATCGTTCATTGTTCATGGCTCACGGATAGCTGATCAATAAATCACATTCGACATGATTGACATGATTGTTTTGTTGGACATATCTCAGTAGATTTGTTTAGTTACGATTTCAATCAACTCAACTGCTTTGGAAATAACAGTGGTAGCGTAGTAAATGGTTTTAATAGCAACAATTCATATCGATTTTGCAAGACTCATATTTTTGATGTAAAAAATCATGGACTACAACACCGATGAATACGTATTCTCCAACAAGAACAGGAATGAAATTGTTTAATGATAAACGATCCCGAGTCGGTTTTGAAACACTTTCAGCTGAATTGTAAAAAAATGATTTCTTGTTTTAAGTTATGGATAAGCTTTACGAATTGTATTACAGTCCCAAGAGTGGGTTCGTTTCAGCGCAGAGATTATACCTGAAACTGAACAAACAGCTTCCAATCTCACAAATCATAAAGTTTCTCGACCAGCAAGAAGTCCATCAACTTCATCAAGAATCACAAAGAAGGCCAGCATTCAGCCCCATAACTGTTTATTCAGTCAATGACCAATGGCAGGTGGATTTGATTGACTTGTCTAAATATGCAAGATGGAATGCCGGATACAAGTATCTCTTGTGCGCAATAGATGTATTTAGTAGGAAATCATTTGTGGTGGCGATGAAAGAAAGTCAGATACTACAGATGCAATGAAGTTAATACTTGACGTGCAAAAGCCTATTCTGATTCAAAGCGATAATGGCACAGAGTTTTTAAACAACAACTTCCAAAGCTTACTGCAAGCAAAAGGTGTTCGTCACATCACTGTGAATGTGGGTGATCACAATATACAAGGATTGATTGAACGATTCAACAGAACATTGGAGAATATCATTGCTCGGTACCAAGAATCAAGAAAATCAAATAGATACATTGATGTCTTGGAAGATATTGTATTCAACTACAACCACACTTATCACCGTGGTGTAAATGATATTCCTGAATCAATGTATCTAAAGAATCCATTAAATGGGTCAATGAAAGTAAAAATTACCAAGCATTCAATTAGAGTTGGAGATCGTGTTCGGATACTCAAAGGTAAACAAACATTCAGAAAAGGATATGTGTCAAAGTACAGCAACGGCATCTATACGGCTGTCAGTGGGAACGGATACTCTTTCTCAATTTCAGATGATAACGGCAATGTTCTTGGAAAGTCTTACAAATACTATGAACTCAAGAGAGTTGAAGGAACGGAGACCTTTATGATTGAACCGAGACACAGAGAGCCGACAATGACAAACAAGGAGCGTCGTAACAAGAGAGAATTACAAGAACTGGCAAGAGTTCAAGGCCCAACCAATAGAAAGACAAAGACATTTGGAGCAACTTATTTTCTAGAGTAACAATAAATGACACCCATCAGCTCAATTGGAAATTACAATGATTACTTACAATCCATCAGGAATTGGGATGCTTATTCATCTCAAGAACAAGACCAATTAAGGAAATGGTATCGTGAATATTATTCTCATAACAAGGAAACTGAACGAAAACGCTACAGAGACTACTATGCCTCAAATGCAGAAGCCGAAAAGGAAAGATTGAAAAAGTATAAAAAGTCTATCAAGAACTGAATATTTCATTTATTTCAAATGTTTAGATTGCTGAGACTTGTTGAAATAACCATTTCACTTCCAGTTGCTGCACCTTCGCCCTCCGTTTCCTCCTCAAACGAATGAAAGCTGGATGGAGGTTCGCTTGGTTCATATTCCTTTTCTCGATAAGGTGGTAAGGTTCCCTTCCAGAATGAAGACGACGAATAATCGGATGTTGGTAACGCATTTGCTTCCTCGCTATCCAGCCATCTCCTCCAGAGAGTGCATTCATTGCAAATTGTAGTCCAAGGCAAGCCAGAGTACACAAACACTGGATAGTCAATCAGAAACCGATAATACGCAATGTACAAATGGCACATTGTGTGATTCCATTTGAACATTTGCCGAGTGTAATCAACAAACTCCTGATTTGGAAAGCAGCCTTTGGGAGCAAGCAGGTTTTGCCCAATGAATTGTCTGATTTGCAAATATCTCGGCATCGGTCCATTACACGATTCTTGTTTAGTAGTTCTGACGTGTATATGTTTATTCGTCAGGTCAAGATCTTGATTCTGGCAGTGACATCCATATAAGGACTGACTGCGTAAGGGACAGGGCTAACAGGTATTTCTGAATTGATCGCAGACAGTGTAGACTCTCCAATAGAAAGCAACAAATTGATTGTATCTGCGTGGGGATGTGGTTCATACGCACCATTTCTGTGAATATGAGAGTCCAATTTGGGACGACGTGTGCGACTGATTGCCCTAGCAAATGCATTGAGTAAATTCTTGTTGATCAAATTGAGCTCTTCTGACAAATCAGCATCATTAAAAGCAGCAACTCTTCTGATTCAGGATGTAATCTGCTGACATTTGTAGTAAACAATGGAAACTACAATTGTAAACTCGGAATTACAATTGTAATAATGTAAGAGCCACAAAATTACAATTGTAATATTTCCAATCATTATAAGACCAAGACTTTTGCCATTCGACCAGGTCTTGATCAATTCACAATATTCAGTGTCAATCTCAATGAAAAATAGCATACCAGATTGTTTGCATAGATTATCGGATAAGAATATTGACCGAAAAAGCAATACTACTCTACAAAGTCAGTTGGGAGATGAGTGGCATTTGGTGAGTAAATTGAATTATGTATTGGATGGGTTGGATGGGTTGGATATGAATAAAAACGATTAAGCAATGTTATCAAGTAAATTCAATTTACATCAAGGATTTTATCGATTGCCTTTAATAACTAATAGAACTGCTGTTCTTAAACCCAACTGAGAGATTCCAATTTCTTTGAGCTTCTCATCAGTCAATGCCAGATCGCCAGTGGCCATCAATTGGGTGAATTTGACTTTCTGTTTTCCAAGACAGTCCTTGATAAGCTGAATTTCATCATCATCCAGTTCTTGTTGAATCTTCAACTTGTCAAAGAACTCCTCCATTGTTGTGAACTTGGTGGTCTGCTTCTTGGGAAGCTCTTCGAAACCTGCCAGGACATAATACAAATATTCTTGGCGCAGGTCTTTCATATCAGTCACAACGATTGGAGTTTCTTCGTGCAAGCGGTAGAGTTTCTTGACTTTCAGAGCCAATGGGAATTTCTTCTGCACTGCTTCAATCAATGCGGAGAGAGAAGAAATGATAGAAACCTCCAAGTCGTATTCTTCGTCTCCACGTTTGACAATGATATGCTTTTCCGGGACAGCGGGAATCCATCCTTTTGCAATTCCAAAACCAGTAGTTGCATTTGCCATACTAGCGAATGTTTCCTTGACAACTTTCTTCAAAGCTTCAGTAGCAGCAGACCCACCAAAAGAGATTTCGTCAAGTTCCTTTTCCAGAAACTCTCCCGAGGACGGATCCCTTTCCAAAGTTGGTAAAGCTTCTTCAATAGTGATCGAGTTGTATCGGCTTTCTTTGGAAACAGCGCTCGCTTCGCCCCAAACAATAGCAGCATCATATTTGATTTGTAGCAGTTCTCTGAGGTATTCAAGAGAAGAGGGAAACTGCTTCGGATGTCCCTGAACTATTGCCTGAGTGATTCCGGTGTCTGTTCTTTGGATTTTGGCAAACAACCTTGCTCCAGAAAAGTATTCGACAAGCAGAGTCTTGAGCCCTGGTAAGTCTGAATTGATTTTTGCCTCCACAGACACCCTTGGAGTATTCAGTGAGAGAAAGGAGTGAGCTGTTGAAATCGGTGTATTATGGCCAGACATTTTTTGTCTGGAAGGAAAGCAATGTGGTGTCACTATAAATTTAGACTTGTGAATGAATAAAAACTGGTATCATTCAGTGCCCTATATATACTACTTACGCAGCAGGAAAAAATTGCTGCACAATTTTGAGAATTGTTGAATCTGCCCGAGTGGATAGTTGATTGGACATTGTAGCTTTGTCAGACTTGACAAAATCAATACTATATCCCGTACCGAATTGCGATTTAAGAAAGATCAATGTGCCAAGTGTTTTGAGATGGCCATTCGACATGATAGCAATACGGTCACCAAGAACATCGGCCTCCTCCATAGAATGTGTAGTCAAAATCAAAACACGATTCTTTTTGCAGCTTCGAATCAAAGACCAGATACGTTGTTGAGCAGCAACATCCATGCCAGTAGTTGGCTCATCCAACAACACGATACGAGGAGATCCAAGTAGCGCAATAGCTACACTTAGTTTGCGTCTCATACCGCCAGAGAGAGTACTGATGTAGGCATCTAGTTTAGCATACAGTTCAACATCGCGTGCTATGGCCTCGACATATTGCATTTTTAAATTTGCAGCCTCTTTTTGACCACTAGATATAAAATCTCCAACTCGGCCATCAATCGTCACACCCTTAATACCACAATACAGTTCTAAATGCTCACGAACAGTGAGAGATTCAAAGATTACATCAAACTGTGGACATACACCAAGTTCTTGTCTAAACATTGACAATGCAAAAGGGTCCGTTATATCCATCACTTTGTCGCCCGACTTGGATTTGACGTAAATGTGGCCTGATTTTGGCAACACAACACCACTTATCATGGATATTAATGTAGTTTTTCCCGCACCGTTGTGGCCCAGTAGTGCAAGAATCTGACTACTGTGTAAATTCAAATTAAAGTCTTGCACAGCACGCTTAATTTTGGTTTCCGTTGCTGCACCACAAAAAAATCTGCCAAAGATCCCCTTGCTAGAATCAGAAGATGCATCCTTTGGTTTTTCTTTGACTTTAAATTCCTTCAGTATATTGTTAATGGATAGCACATTGCGGTCGGAATCTGAAATATGATCTTCGTTAAAGTTTTCAATAAAGCCATCCTCTTGTAATGCGTGTCTGGGTACTTGGAGTGAGGGAATACTTTTATAAGTAGAGAACCAAAAACTGGAGATAAAGGGGAAACTCCATGGTTGTGAAGTGGCAATATTCTCTCCAGGAAAAATCTTGTTTAAATACCATGCAAGACTCAAACAACACACATCTGTAATCCTTACCACCCATTCCATGAAAGAAGCGAAAGCACTTGGCGATCGTATTGGCATTGTTGTCAATGGCCGTATGCAATGTATTGGTACTCCGCAGAGGCTCAAATCTGTTTACGGATGCGGATACAAGGTTTCGATAAGAACAAGTGAATCCGTGAATGTGGTGAATGATTGGTTTTTGCAAAATATTGGTAAACTTGGCACATGGCAAGTAGCTCGACAAGTGGGTGGAACGACTGTATTGCAAATGACAAAGCTTGGCGTTGAAGCTTTACAAACACAGCTATTGGCCGCGTCGACTGACAAGGAGAAGATGATTATAGGACTAGAGTTACTAGAGCATATTTTCCGTGTTTTGGAATTGCCGGAAACCTGTGGTGATAGTGGTCAACTAGCCCGACGACTTGGTATTGTAAGTCATGAAGTACAGGAGACGAGTATGACCGAGGTATTTGTTGCATTTGCATCACTTCAAAAGGGACTTGAGCTTTAACAGCACCATGAACAATTTCACATTTTCACAACTTAATAAATTCTAATGCGTTGATGATACATTCATTTACATTTGCTTGATGAGCACTAATGTGTTTTGATTAACCGTTTAGCTTTTAAACAATGGCATTGTGAGATTCAAAGCTTCATAATGTCAATGTTTAAAGCCTGCCGAGAATTACCTGAACATAATAAAAGGTGGTTTTGTATGGTGTGCAATTACAAACATTGGGGAAGAATTAAGAATGACAATGGTAGTATAGATGGGACACCGAATGATACCAGGTATTTTAGTAGATAGCTCCTAGTAAAATCTATCGAGTGTTGTTAAAATGAATATTTGTCTGTGGCATTCACGTTGGTTAAAATCATTAGAGCAGGTGTATGAGCTAATATTAATGGTAGATAGTTGGTGCCATACTTATACTAAACACTTGTTTCATAAGATTCAAATGATACCAGTGTCCAAAATTTTCAAAAATGACAATTTATGAGATTAGTAATTCAGGCCAAAAAGGTGGGATAGAGCAATTTAGAGCTTATAAGTTTGAGTTATTAGGAGGTTTCTGTGCCAAATTCATACTTGATGTTTTAAAATTCGTTAATATTCTAAAGTTGATTTAACATAAAAGGAAATTGTAATGGAGATATTATGAAATCGTATTTATTGAAATTTTGTTTACGGGACCGCAGAATCCATTGAATAATAATCATCCCACTTCTTCGTGGTTTCCTTCTCTTTCCATTCCAGACATTTCCGGAATATAGTAGGGTTAGTCACATGAACTGAAGTATTCATTATGAGTGGGTTATCTGTTTGTGTCGAGCCTTCAATCAAGCGATAAAATATCATATCAGCCGATTCTTGATTCAATGCTACTACCGCAAGTACGACTTTATATCTGTCTTCTACAATAACCGAATCAGAAATGGAGACGATTTTCAAATAGAACAGCGGAATCTCGGTGCTCAAGTTGATAAACCAACCGTGAAGGTCCATTGACATTGCTAGCCTATTGTTTGGGTCTTTGTCGTATTTTTCATAAGAGGGGTAGTTTCTACAATGAGAGTCAGATATCAAGTGACAGCTTTCTGCTTTCCCCATCGAACCAAAAATTGACAATTTTTCGATTCTTTGGTATTTGAACTCGTCGCTTGTTT